GGTGTGCTGCTACCTAGTTCTGCAGGTATCACCTCTGAAAATGAGTTAATTCTTTATGAACATTTGGTCTTAGATCTTTCCACTAACCACTGGATTAGGGCTAACCAACTCATTTCACATAGGTCAGCGAATAGCTATGAGACACTAATGACACTAGGGGGCTTGTCACCTGATCTAGATTTAAATTATTCGCCTAGAAGTGATAATATCTGTGACCTTGATGTGGTTTTGAACATAGAGAAGGGGAAAATCATCAGTGATTCACAGGAATTTAGTTGCCTGATTCCCATTTTTGCCTATGGCAGTCACATAGCCAAGGGTTTGTCTACATTGCATGCTGCTTTCGGCGGTGCATAGCGTGTATCCCTTAGCACGGGTATAAATAGCAGTGTAGACTGTAAGGCATGGCTTAGGTAGGTAAAGACACCCCGAAAGAGTGTGGGTATGTACTCGACTACATATCCTACACAGCTCTCTACTTGCCCAAGCTGTGCCTCCCCATCTATATTGCTATTTTTAGCAGTGTAGTGTGCCACTGCCTCTCTGCTGCTTTCCCTGCTGCCTCCCTGTAGCTAGAGACTTTCCCCACAGCAGGGAAAGATTCTGGCAGTGGGGAAAGACTTTGGCAGGGAAGAAGCAGTGGGGAAAGTTTTAACCTTTTCCCATTTGACTACCCCCCCCCTTGCCAGAGCCTTTCCTTGCCACAGTGAAAGGCTTCTGCAACAGGTTGCTGCTGAAGCCATTCTCTGCCACCTCTTCTGTGCTAGAGACTTTCACTGTTATGCATCCGAAGAAGTGGGCTGTAGTCCACGAAAGCTTATGCTCTAATAAATTTGTTAGTCTCTAAGGTGCCACAAGTACTCCTGTTCTTCTTTTCACTGACATGGGTAGCTACACAGTGCAATGTGATCACAGACTGCTTTTCATTGCTGCGTGTAGAGACCCGTACATCTCTTCCAATAGTGTGTAGTGTAGATGTACCCTGAGTACCTGTGCACGACTTTGAGAATGCTAAATTTTTGAATAGTGGTCTAACTAATGTGCCTGCTTAAATTGTAGATTTCCTGCTACTTTCCCTTTTGCTTACAGCTGTTGTGTCAATGTGTTCTCTCTCTGACCGCAGCTAATGAAAAATTCAGTGGAGAAGGCCTGGAATGTATGCCTATCAATTTTTTAAAATTTGGATATTACCTATATCTTACTGTCCTAAACTGCTGAAAGCAAACTATTCCAGCCTGCTACTGTGCTCTTCAGTTTTATATCTTTTCAGCAACTGTTGTAGTTATGGAACTAGAGATTTATTGGTTTCTAGTTTGGTAAGTTCTGTATATCCCTTACACATGCCAAAGATGTGTATTCCTGTTACTAGGATTTAAATATTTCCTCTCTTTCTTTTTTGTAGGCTTCTGTTGAAGGAATGAAGCTTTAAAAAGGAACTTACAAAGTAAGAAAATGGGTGCAAACAGTAGCAGCATTTGTGAGCTCCCAGAAAATGTGTACTTAAAAAGATTATCAGGAGCCGAGGCTGTCTCTGAGAATGACCCATTCTGGAATCAGCTGCTTTCTTTTAGCTTTACTGCCCCAACAAGCAGGTAAGACGATGCTTGCTGAAGGACTGAACATTTATGACAAATACATTAGCAATGGTGCCAAATAAATCTGAATGCAAAATAGACTTATTTTTCCTCTTTTTGGGAGTCGGTAGGCATGTGGAAAGTCCACCTGAGCGTGGGGTGTTGGAGTACCATTCCAGCATATTCTCTCATTCTTGCAGCTTCTTTTCTCCTCCTTTTCTTCTCCTAATAGCCATTAACGGACTTATCCTTCATTAATTTATCCAGTTCTCTTTTAAACGCTGTTATAGTCCTAGCCTTCACAACCTCCTCAGGCAAGGAGTTCCACAAGTTGACTGTGCGCTGTGTGAAGAACTACTTCCTTTTATTTGTTTTAAACCTGCTGCCTATTAATTTCATTTGGTGACCCCTAGTTCTTGTATTATGGGAATAAGTAAATAACTTTTCCTTATCTACTTTCTCCACATCACTCATGATTTTATATACCTCTATCATATCCCCCCTTAGTCTCCTCTTTTCCAAGCTGAAAAGTCCTAGCCTTTTTAATCTCTCCTCATATGGGACCCGTTCCAAACCCCTAATCATTTTACTTGCCCTTCTCTGAACCTTTTCTAGTGCCAGTATATCTTTTTTGAGATGAGGAGACCACATCTGTATGCAGTATTCAAGATGTGGGCGTACCATCAATTTTACATAAGGGCAATAATCTATTCTCCGTCTTATTCTCTATCCCCTTTTTAATGATTCTTAACATCCTGTTTGCTTTTTTGACCGCCTCTGCACACTGCGTGGACATCTTCAGAGAACTATCCATGATGACTCCAAGATCTTTTTCCTGATTTGTTGTAGCTAAAATAGCCCCCATCATATTGTATGTATAGTTGGGGTTATTTTTTCCAATGTGCATTACTTTACATTTATCCACATTAAATTTCATTTGCCATTTTGTTGCTCAATCACTTAGTTTTGTGAGATCTTTTTGAAGTTCTTTACAGCCTGCTTTGGTCGTAACTATCTTGAGCAGTTTAGTAGTATCATCTGCAAACTTTGCCACCTCACTGTTTACCCCTTTCTCCAGATCATTTATCAATAAGTTGAATAGGATTGGTCCTAGGACTGGCCCTTGGGGAACACCACCAGTTACCCCTCTCCATTCTGAGAATTTACCATTTATTCCTACCCTTTGTTCCCTGACTTTTAACCAGTTCTCAATCCATAAAAGGACCTTCCCTCTTATCCCATGACAACTTAATTTACATAAGAGCCTTTGGTGAGGGACCTTGTCAAAGGCTTTCTGGAAATCTAAGTACACTATGTCCACTGGATCCCCCTTGTCCACATGTTTGTTGACCCCTTCAAAAGAACTCTAATAGATTAGTAAGACACGATTTCCCTTTACAGAAACCATGTTGACTTTTGCCCAACAATTTATGTCCTTCTATGTGTCTGACGATTTTATTCTTTACTATTGTTTCGACTAATTTGCCCGGTACTGACGTTAGACTTACCGGTCTGTAATTGCTGGGATCACCTCTAGAGCCCTTTTTAAATATTGGCGTTACATTAGCTATCTTCCAGTCATTGGGTACAGAGGCCGATTTAAAGGACAGGTTACAAACCCTAGTTAATAATTTCGCAACTTCACATTTGAGTTCTTTCAGAACTCTTGGGTGAATGCCATCCGGTCCCGGTGACTTGTTAATGTTAAGTTTATGTTAATTCCAAAACCTCCTCTAGTGACACTTCAATCTGTGACAGTTCCTCAAATTTGTCACCTACAAAAGCCGGCTCAGGTTTGGGAATCTCCCTAATATCCTCAGTCGTGAAGATTGAAGCAAAGAATCCATTTAGTTTCTCCGCAATGGCTTTATCGTCTTTAAGCGCTCCTTTTGTATCTCGATCATCGAGGGGCCACGCTGGTTGTTTAGCAGGCTTCCTGCTTCTGATGTACTT